AAATTTGGCATTCCACAAGGATCTATAATTGGACCTAAAACGTTCATCATGTATTCACAACCAGTTGCTCATATTATTCGATTTCATGACATCCAGTTTCATATCTATGCCGATGACATTCAACTTTACATCGCCTTTAATCCCAACATCCCAGGTGAATCTGCTGTTGCCCTGCATAGGCTATCGTTATGCGTAGATGACATTCGACACTGGATGACTGCAAATAAGCTGAGACTATACAGCTCCAAAACTGATTTTGTTTTTCATATCCGCATCGTAAAATAATTTGCCAAAGCTCATCAATTACACCTTCCCAATCGATAATGAGTATAATGTCCCCATACCTTTCAGTGAGAAATTTAGGAGTAACATTTGACTCATCCACGACCATGTCCTCTCATGTTACATCCCTCTGTCCGTCAATCAATATCAATTAACGTAACATCTCAATACTCATGTCGTGAGGGCACTGATTCTGTCCAGACTTGACAATGCCAACTTTCTTTTCGCTGGTTGCAGCATCCAGCTCCGACATTTCAAGACTGCAGCGTCTTCAGAACAGGGCTGCTCGTATCAGTTTCCAAGTCCCACGCCGACATCCCTTTACTCCACTTTTGCAATCTCTTCACTGGCTTCCGATTGAACAACGCATTATTTTCAAAATCCTGTTAATATGGTTTGATATAATGGTTTGATATAATACCATTGTAAATGGTTTGATATAATACAATTGTCGTGCGTTGATACTTGGCAGTAAAACTTGTTAAAGCAGAAGTAAACATGTTCGTCTTGCCCACCCGAAAATGTATTTCTTGGTGGAGAAGTCAAATTTTTGGAGGGTCTCGGAAAACCCCCCGCAGATTTCCTCAATATTAGTGCATAAGTTGTTTTTACCGGTCTACCCATATGGCAGATGGAAGAAGTTTGTTAACATATACTTTGAGCTGATTCACTTTCTTGCCCCTCGGATGAAAAAAAGATGAGGCCCATATGGACCCGGTCAACTACACTGAGACTGAGTACACACACGATTAATTAATACACGTAGGAGAAGGGACACATAAGTATTAACATGCCCGCAATTTTCCAAGCAATTACGTTTGGAGCAATCCGAGTTATTGAATGATCCAATCAAAAGAGAATTATTAACACATAGAAAACATACGTTGAGATGATTTATGTTGCCGTTTTTCTTTTAAGGTTTCGATAGTTGGAGAATACCCATCAGGTGAGCTCAACCAGAAGTATACTTTTAATAGGGCGCTCTTAATATTTAATTTTTGCATATACACGTATATAATCACTGGCAAATACGCAAAACACATTTATAGCTGCAGCTGTGCAGTTTGATAATTATTTCTTTTCTTCAACAAATACACTGTATGCAATTAACACGTTTCTATTTGGAGTACAATTTCAGTCCTAAATCGATCAATCAAGTATAAATTAAGCGAACATGTTTGAATAACTTGGCGCACTGTTAACATATGGAAAGATAACAACTCTAGTTTTAATGAGCCTGACAGTTGTCGATCTGTCTTTGTTTTGAAAAATAAACAGTGTTCGTATATAAGGAAAACAAAACATGCACACTGCAGGCTCAAAGAAAGGAAAGGTAATTAATTGCAGGCCCTCGCCGGAGATATTCCTCTTAAGACACTCGGGTTAAACGGCTCAAAAGGAATCACAAACACAAAAATAATCGATTACAAGTGAACCAGATCAGTTTCTCGTGGAGGTTGAATATTTCTTTACGCGTAGACCGGATGATTACAATTAGCCATTACTATTAAATGTCCACTTTATGACTTTTTAAATGATCTACAGTTTTGGTGACATTTGTCTTAAATGAACCGTAGCCAGTAGCCACATTTTCTGACGTTGTCATTGGCCCGAACGAAAGATATACCGTGTTTAATGCTTTTATCACTTCATGTTCTTTAAGCTTTTGGGAATAATGACCACCTTTAGGCCTAATAATGTTTGTCCATGTATACAGTGTATTAAACATGTCATACAGAAATGGGCAGACGTAATTTATCATAAAAGCCCGCTTTAACGTCTTGAAATTTGATCATCACGGTACGATTTACTTTACTCCCTTGCATTAGCGCGCTGGGAAATTAATCACACTATTGGGAGCTATTGCGAGCTAGTGTGAGCATGATCAGGGTAATTTGGTACTTAACTGATACAGGTAAATGGCGTATGCAATACCTTAATTGGTATTCGTTGAAGGACAATATATGTCTAAGGAGCCTGTCTGTCTATATGAGGGATTATAATGGATGTTTCATTAGCATGATCCTTTTTAATCAGGCTTGGAACAAGCACTTAAATTAAAGCTTAAATCTCCTCGGGATAGTCAGGTGCCTGATATTAAAATCATGGGGGAAATAGTTATCAGAATTACCAACGGTGTTCATTTTCGTAGTCCCTCTGATCAAAGTTTGTGATATGTGTTGCTCCAGCTTGGCACATGTGTGCATCAGTTCATAGCTTATGCATTACCGAAGTCTTTTTAAAAATATTTCAAACACTCAGATTCGTTCTTACAATACCAGATCTTCTGAAGATGTTCATTTTCTCTATGTACGCCTTCTACATTTTTCAATTGTGTATCATTTCAGGGTCCTAAGTTCTGGAATTCTTTAAGCAATAATTTTAATCAAATAACAGCATCCCCATCTTCAAGAAAAAACTTAAACTTTGGCTTCGAGGAAAATATCATCAAGATTGATTTATGCCCTTTGTATTTATTCATGTTATATACATGTTTGTCCCATTTCCCTTTTATGTGTAACATTAACTTTAAATCAACTTATTGTGTATGCTAATTGTCATTATACTTGTAAAACTGATTTCAATGCGTGTAAGTATAGACAACTTAAAGGGAATATACAACATTTGCAAACATCGAAAAATAAAACTACCAAGTTTTTGCGAAATACCTTAACAGGATGTTGGTAAATGACAGTCTAAAGCATCCTGTAAAATTATGGCACCTGGTATACTGTCATTTTCAAGAAAAGTGGTATTTTTGTATCAATTTCCAACGCTGATCGGCCGATCAGCGTTGGAAACAACTGGCTTTTTTTCAAATACTAGCCCCAATTGACCATTGCACTTGTTTGCAATCGATTACAAACCTATAAACGGGTACGAGCCAGCTAGACTGGTTCCCTGACCTTACAATTCCCCCAAAGTATGTAAACTGCTCTGTTTCTTCTTATATGGAGTCAGGGAACCAGACTATAGGAAAATGATCGTTTTTCTTGTTTTTTATAGCATTTTCGAACCCAAAACCTCCAAAAAGTTAGTGTAACTATATTTGCTTTATATTTCCAACCCCCCAATTCCATCCATTTCTGAAAATTACAGCAAAAGCAAATGATGTATATTCCCTTTAAGGGGATCTCCGGTCTACAAGCTTTGCTTTTTGGAGATGAGAGTCTGGTACTTGTTGTTACCTTTAATGAATTTGAATAATAGTGGAAAATTAATGAACTGAACTGAAATCGATAGTTCCAGCCTTCTACGATGCATCTTTATGTCTTATGTCTTATATTCATCCAAATTCAAAAGATGAAGCCTTTGGTTGCGTCATATTTTGTAGGGCTTGTTTCCTAACGTCTTTAATTTCCAATGATTGCAATCGTTGCGAAAACATCTGGTATCTGAGCTATTTTCAGAGAAAGGTTGTACTATATTGAGTTCCTTAGAATACGTCACATGATAGCTCTGAATCAATCACGTTTTGTAATATATATATTCCAGCACTCAGTGTTTATTTGTAGTTTATTCACATTCACCAACATTCGTATTGCACTGACGCAAATTTACAATTTTTCTTCAATCATGTTTTGTTTGTTTATAGATATTTAGTTGCTTATCAACTTCCAAACGTGCACCCGAATCAATAAATTTACACCTGTATGCGTGTTACCCCAGGCCACTCTGTCCACTAATTAATTTCAAATCGTTCTTTGTCAACCAAAGAAAACCCCCATTTATTTACTCTTTTCCTAGATACAATCAACATCAGTCTTAGCTGTAAACTACACAAGTTTACCACACCGAAATTAAAGTGTTATTGAAATTTGGCTTGGAGCATCATTTCGAAATAAACACTGCAAAATATGGTGCAACAAAAAAATTGTGTTGCAAAATCTACCTGCGCGATAAAATTGTGAATATTATAGGCCTGTCGCTCAATATGGTGTATTCAATCTTCCTAAGTGCATGTCAAACAGAAAGCAAATGTTCGCAGGGAATCCCAGACATTGGCCAGCTATTTATTTATTTGATGCATGACTACTTCTGTAATATATATTTCATTAATTTATCCAAATTTAATCGCATACACTGAAGCACGGGTCCAAGATATTGTCGCAAACGCTTGTCAAATCGCTGTCCTTTGGGCATTCATTCGGTCATTATGTGGGCCCTGCAGTACGTGCTTATGAATAAGACCAGAATATGTATAACCATAGAAACATTGGGACACCGCCCCCCCCCTACACAAAAACAATTGAAACAAATGAGGTTAGCACTCTCTCCCATTCACACACATCCGTCTTTTCATCGGTCGATCTTCAGAAATTCGAGGAGTTTACTTGGACGGGTTATTCGCAATCTGAGTCTGACCCGGGCCGGGACTTTTAGAGTGCACGTGATTTATGCATTCAGTAGGCTCAACCACTTTTCTGCAGCGACATAATTCGTATGTCATTTGTTTTATAGTGTCTTTCCCAATGGTAGTTTTTTTCCAATTTGGAACAGTTTATCTTCATTTCCAAATGCACACACCGATTGAGCCATCAGTATCAAGTGCCAATCCCCGCTGATCTCCCCAGTAATCATTCTCTCAAATACAATTGGGTCCCTCCAGCCTCATTATTGTTTCAATTTACATCATCAAATTGAGGTAGTCTGCAAACGAAAGCCTGTGAAGTCACTGACCCTGTTTTGTCTTTTCTTTTCTTGTCCTTTGCAGATATTGTCTCCAATACTGTTTTTATAGTGGATACATGAGGTGGGCGACACTTGAACAGAATTTAGATTACACTCCGAGTGTATACATGGATATAGAATTGAGTTTCCCAAGGGGGAGCTGGAGCCTTTTTATGCCAATAGACGTTAGAATTGGGAGTCACTCGTCTTTGAGCTAGGAACCTGGACACAAACCAGCTGAAATCATGGCAGAGTTTCTGAGTACAACGGTCGCGGGTTCTCAGGCTCAACCTTCGATCGAGCGCAATGGTATCAGTGGTTATGATGTGATATCTGCCATGCCAGCCCTCGTGGAGTACCTGGACGAGGCAGGCAATGCCACCAACCAGACGGCCAGTCGCTGGTTTTTTGACGGCATGTATTACGACCTGACCCAGTTGACCAGCGTCTACGCTATTCTGATCATCCTCAGCGTCATGGTCATGGTGGTGGGTCTGACCGGTAACTCCATGGTCATAGCTGTGGTGTGCCGGCATCGGTCCATGCGAACCCCGACCAACTTCTACATCGTCAGTCTGGCGCTCAGCGACTTCCTCGTCACCTCGTTCGTCATGCCGCTCAAGTTGCTGGAGTTGTCTGCCGATGTCGACATCTCCATCCTCAACGCAGCCATGTGTTCCATCCTGGGATTTGTCCAGCCGTACTTCGTCTTCACAAGCATCTGGACTCTGGTGGCCATCTCTATCGACAGGTAAAAACTGCAACATATTTGGAAGCTTGGCTGATTGAGCCGACTTAAGTTCCCCAATCGGTGTAGTTTCTCGAACGTAAATCTGACGTCGGCATCGATTAGGGGGACTTGCAGGTATAATGGATACCATTTGCAAAAAGAAATGTGTTTCTGACAATTCAAGGCACAACAATACAATAAATATGAAGCAGGTTATTAAAAAAGTAACCTTTCAAACTTGCAGGTGAGTAGATATACGCTTTGAGAAAACTGTGAAAATGTAAAAAGTATGTTGTTTCCCTTGAAAGCGCGATGTTATGCTCGGAACCATCGCAAGGAAATGATGGTTATTCCTCTTTTCTCGAAAATGACAGCAATCGATAGGGAGCAATTATTTCACAGGGCGCATGATACTATTATTTACTTACAATCAAGTGGAATTTTTCATGATACTTTGACAGTTTCGTTTTCGAATGTTTGCAAATGGTATCTATTACAGTTGACAACTGTCAGACACCCGAAGTTGTTGCCTCATGTATAGTCATACATCATGCTGGGGGAACATGAGATATGAATTATTAAGTGGCAAAACTAGAGCAATGAGACGACCAGGCCTAGATCATCGCGGAGAACATCATAGTATGTGAGACCATGCAGTGCAATTGATTAACGATCTCGATTGACAGAACAAAATTCATCAAATAAAAGGATTTAACCTTTATTCCCTCATTCTACCTTTCTTGATCCGGCTTCTGAGGGTCTTACGCTAACCTCAATAAGGGGACACTTTTAACAAAAGGGGCTCATGTATGACTAACCTCAATAAGGGGACACTTTTAACAAAGGGGCTCTTTTATAAAAAAATATGGGTGACTATAAGAGAAACAATGTACAAAGACTGAACGTTATTAAGCATCTGTGTAGACATTTTAATTTCGTACTTTAACCTGTGCGGTTTTTGCCGAGGCGGATGTTTTACGTGACCTTAGAAATTGAGATAAACCACTTCGAGGTAAACTTGCTATACTTAAAACTATGTCTGGACAAAATTACCGTTTTAGCTAAAATGGTGTCTGAACATGGCCTTTGCCATCTTGTCTGCTGATATTTAATCTGCAGATAGTTTTGTTGGTACGGTTAAGATAGACCATATACGACGGCATGGTTTTACCGTTATCGCTTACTTAATGGTTTTAGCGAGAATTACTCGAAGATATATATATTAACATGTGCCGTTTTGTTTGTTTGGTGGCTGTCGTAAATATCTATATATAATTGAAGGAAAAAAGAGAGATAACTATTTCCCCGTATTAAAATATATTGATCTAATAAGGTTCAACAGGGTCAAGTTTTGACAAAGCATAACACATCAGGCATGGACTTACACACAAAAAAGGAAACACATCATTTCACAACGATGAGTAAACCGAACACTCTTCTTCACGGGACCTGTTACGGAATATTAATTTGATGTAATGATTTTTGTCAACTCAAGTTCAACAGCTGCCTGAAGGACTCGTCGACTCCGCGCCCTTAACGTTTACGCACGGGAGGTAATCAATAAATCGTTAGGTGGATTAGGACCGCTCGCACTGCGCTCGCCATTACCACGTCGTCACCTCACAAATGCGCACTTCTGGAGGTGAAATTAATAGAGCGCTAACTGTGCCGTAATAACCGTGTTTTTTTTTTAACCGTCTGACAAGGTACAGTTATTTGGCAGAGTCAAGGTTGAGGTGTGGACGCTCGATCAAGAAATTAATGAGGTTGCAATAAACAGGAGCCGTGGGATGCGGACTCGTCGTCAAGACGTAATTAAATCTCGTAATATCAAGACTTCTTTGCCCATATAAACAGCTGTGGGGATCGAACATCATCAGAGAGGTTGTATTTGTTGTCCTCGTTATCGTCATTGGACTACTTTGCGAGTAAAGAACGTGAATGATATCACTGTGATGTCAACTCGGTTACCAAACCCACTGCCCCAGCCTCGCCCAGCCTCATACCTAAATAAAATATTGGCTTTGCCATCCGGACGTCAACTTAGAACTAGTCTCCAGTGTGGAATTGTACACATTGGGTTTTCCCACTTTTCAAATTATTCTTTTAAAAATATTCTGTGCAAATCCAAATCTGAACTCTAAAATGTATAGTTTCAAAATTAATCATTAACTTAAATAAATAAATCATTTTCCTTAAAGTACTGATAAAAAAACTCTGTCGGTTTTTAGTTAAATATATAAAAATAAGTCAAGGGCAAAAACCCCAATATAAAACGTAGATCTCTCCGATGCAAATTACATCTGATAAACAACACTTGTATTATTCCTAAGTGCTGCCCATGTGCATTTTGCATGAATCGGCCATATTGAAGTGAAAGTGAGGTAAATCTTAATTTTTGGGAATTGCGAAGAGAAATGAAAGCAAGTTAATTACTAATTAATTCGAGTCTGCTTCAATGAATAACTTAACATTTGTAATTAAATATTCCCTATAATGTTTAACGCCAGATTTAAACAAAACAGTAAAATATGACTGCATTATGCCTGCATAAATAGTCTGGCGCCATCCCATTCAACAGTTAACAATTAATAAAATACATTCAGGGACCTCGACAAAAATGCCCAACTCGTGGATAAGGCCCATATAATTCATTTCAAAGGTATTATTGCCATTGTGGAAAAACCGTACACCATTGGCGTAATGGACGCATCTGTAACTTATAATTGTAAGATGCTGAATGATTACGTTCATATCCATTACAAAGTTCAAATATATTTGTCAAAATATTTAAGCACCGGCTTATTGATGCTGCGAAAATCATTTCACACTCGAGTAATCCAACAAGTACGTGCCCTGTGATGCGCGGCCACATTTGAAACCAGCCCTTATTGGGATTCGTCTAGTTTATAATCTCTCGACAATCGCTTGGCCTAGTTCATCCAGTTGCAGTACTACCGCCCCAGTGGTAAAATGGCATACACTTGATTACCAACAAATTAATTTAAAATTGATTTCACGCGGTCCTTTAGTGGATGCTGTTAGTGGGATGACCAAAGGAATGTGCGGCCTTAAAGTAATAACAGTGACGCTATATGAAAAAGTAGTAGTGACACTGCTTTAAGAGCTTTGGTTGTGTCACTGGACCATCGCACAAAAGAAAACTGACAAAGAGCATCTAATTTTGAAGCCTGCGCTCGTTATCACTGCCTAAGACGGTGTATTTATAAGTAATCTGTTAATGCCTTCTCTTTTTAGCTGAGCCCATTACGGAGTTTTTTTTTGCAATGAGCATAATCATTCACACGCTGAGTCTGATCTGAAATGACTACATTATGTGATATAGGTTGACATCTGCGTTGCTATTACGTTGCTCCTATACGTAAATATGGATGCTAAGCTTTGTTTTCAGCACAGAAATATAAACGACCCAGTTGTCATTAAGTATCCTCCCCATACGGGCTCAAAACGATGTTTGTGGACATGACGTCAACGCTATGTCCTTTATCTCGACTATACACCTCCGGTTTTTCATGAATGATAGCAATTGTAAAGAACTTCCTTCGATTGTAAACCAACGTGATGTGCAAAAGAGTTCAGGGAATGTGTATCCATGGATCACGATGGTCGCATTTGGTCGTTTATCAAAATGTCCTTCAAGAGCTAGGAATCTGCTCCTCCCAATTCCAGGTATGCTGCTCAAGTAAAAAGAGTCGAGTTCCGTCTACACTTTACATTTCCTACGGGCAAAATGAAGACATGAGTATAAGAGATGACTCGTGCCGTGAGTGTAGGTGTGCATTTCCCCCTCGTGCGTCTGTTGGACCAAGAGAGATCAGCTCTACTCGCTTCTGGCTAGTTTAGAGTGAAGAGGGTATGCAGTTATGTTCGACGACCAACTTCTTGGGTTCGATTCCCAAGTTTGCATTCCGCTCCAGGCAGGATTCGAACCGACACTCTTGCAGTGACTGTTTAAAGAAATCGAAGTGTGCCTTCAGCAACTCTATAGAAAGGGGCCTCTTGTATAGTCACTCCTCAAAACACGTCAGCCAGAATGTACTTCAAAGATTTCTCAGATCCTGGTTTCTATTCCAAATCGAAGGGTCACACGAACTGTCTAGGGTCTTTGCTTAATCAACGTCACTAGGGGGCGCGCTACCCCAGTACCTCGTTCCTTGAAGGAATTGTCACGCTAGAACTAAATCAGGCTGCACTTGCAAACCGTAGACTCTTTCGCGTCGTTAATACGTGGGTTGCTCAGCTTACAAGAATCCACTCGAGAGGCCGAAGCTTTCCAACGCAGCACACCTTTAACCAAGCCGTAACTTGATCCAATTGACACCACCATAACACTCACAAGATCCCGCCCTAAAAGTTTGTATTTTTCCCCCTCGTAGGTATCTGGTCATTCTTCACCCGTTGCGGTCCCGCTCCTTCAACACGCGGTCCCGGGCCATTCGCAACGTGGCCGCCATCTGGGCCATGCCCTTCCTGGTCCTGGCCGGCTACTTCTACCCGCACCGGACCATGAACTACCGGATGACCAGCGAGCTGGGTGTCATCAGGCGTACGGCTTGCCGGTCTGACTTGCCCCACATGATCCAGCAGTGGTACGCGCTGTTCCAGTTTACCGTGCTGCTGCTGGTACCCGTGGCGTTGCTGTGCTTCACCTGCTTCTCCATCGCCCGCCGACTCTTCCGGCTTACGGAGGACGAGAAGATGCTCAAGACGTCGCTGAGGAAGGAGGAGGCAAGCCGGCGAAAAGTAAGATCATTCAAACAAAATCTTCCAGAATGGCCGCAACTGACTAAGGTCAAGTTACACTGCAAAGACCTATCACACATGTTAAGAAGAAGAAGTGAAAACAGAGTAGTAATTACAATCAGTTGTGTGTAAGAGAAAGAAGCTCATATGAACCCTGTTTCTTCTGAGAATCACTCTCCTGTTTAATATGTCCCTTCACCATAGGCGGATCCGGGGGAAGGGGGGGGGGGCAACGGCCCCCTAAAAAAAACCTGATTTTTTTTTTTTTAAATCGGAGTGAAGACACCGTTTTGTCTTAAATTTTCAGGAAATAAAAAATGTTGCGTATCTCCATCGCAAGCCATCAGCTACACACACACTTTAGTTTTAATTTAACATAGTGGAAAAAAGCGCACGATATTACTTAATCCCCTTCCCCCTTTTTGAAAAAAAATACTAGAGCCCTCTTGGCCCCCGGAAAATTTGGTTCTGGATCCGATTTGCCCTTCACATGGTGTTTCTTAAAACCCCAAGTTGGTACTCGTCACCATTCAAAGCTTCAAATCACATTTGAAGCACCTCGACTGAAAAAAAAAATCAACAATAGACCGTTTAACTGTATCTCGGTTGGCAGGCCTTCCCTACTTTGGGTGTGGTCAATTACACAGTAAAGTCTGTACCCATACGGCCACTCTGTACCACTGCATCTGTAAACCAGAACAATGGTCATTTTCTGTAAAGATGTATTAAAATCATTCATATTATTGTTCTTTACTGATTTTCCTTTCTAGGTCGCGAAGATGGTGTTAGTTGTTGTGTTTGCGTTCGTCATGTGCTGGGCTCCGTTTTTCATTGTGACGCTGCTCAATCATTTCCTGCAGTTCCTCGTGAACCGTAACTTTTTCTTCTGGCAGTGCATACTATTTCTCTTGGGCTTCTCGAACTCGTGTATGAACCCCATCATCTACGCGTTTATGAGCCGGGCCTTCCGTAGGGGCTTCCGAGGCATCATCGTCTGCTTCTGCCCCTGCACCAAGGTCTGCTTCAAGAACAAGAGCAAGTTTGTCAACCCACGGCGTAGCGTGACCATCATCTCCAGCGAGCCGGCCACCGAGGCCTGCCGGGTCGGGGGCGAGGGGGCCAAGGCGAACGCCAAGCGGCGTCGGGCGGCCGGCGGTGGCTTGGACCGTAACTCGCGTTGGAATAACACGCAGTACAGCACCATGTCTGAGACAGAAAACATCGACATGACGAGGATCTCGAGCTCGGGGTCGGCCAACGGCGGGCCGTGCGAGCACCACTCGACCCGGAACAAGACGGACTCCTTCATTAACAAATCACCGGTGACTGCGACCACACCAACCGATTCCCCTCGCCAAGGGGAATTTGAAAACAATAACTTTAGTCAAAAAAATTCCCAAGAGTCTGGCAACAGCCCAAACTCCTTTGACAAAATTGAGGAGGAGGGCCCTTTCGAAGACGTAGCCCTGGACGAGGGATCCCGTGAGAACCCTGCAGCTAGTAGCAAGCCATGCATCGACTACAATCGCAACACGCCACCCCATCCGACTGAGAAACAGCTCCATGGCTTCGTTCAAGACACGGACGAAGAACCGGGTTGCACAGCCCCTCTCCTTTCGATATCTGAGGACAATCCCACTGTCGCAAATGGGGACTGATAGAAAGGTTTACATTTACGTCCCTCTTATCTTTACACCAGTATTGGCACACAGTGCATAATGAAACGTCGTGAGAACGGCGAGCGTGACTTTGCACCGATTGTTTAAGGAAGCAATTAGGACGCATCATCTTGCTGCCATTAATGTTAGCAGCTCAACTTACCGTTTTAAGACACGTTTCGTGCGCTTTTCAGAGCACAAAAATGTGATGCCAGCCAAATGTCTTTCAGTCCACTCCCAGTAGAGCAAAACAAAAATGAATATTACTCGCCACGTGCTCAAAGGGAAATCAAGTCAAACAATCTACTTAAAACTTGCGAAGTATCTACGCAAAAGCAGATAGAATTTTGAAATCCACCAAAGTCTTGAAGCTCTTAGACATAATTTGATAAATATATTACTTGTGAATCATTGGATTGATACAGTGATTGCAGAGAGATTTATAAGTCAGCTCCGAGGTTTCTCTTAAATCTTCTTTGATTTACTTTAGTTTGTCCTCGGTTTTTACGGAACATGATTTGTTTTTAGGTGAGTGGCAATGAAAAGATGCCGGAGCCTTAAATATTTGGTGTACTTTTCCCCCTAAAATCTTACAATACAAATACATCAATTGAATCCGCACTTGTCGGATATCCATTGGAATTTGAAGTCAAAATCCTAATCATTCAGTCGGCGCATCGGCGGGAAATTCCCAATGGATGCATGGGCACAAGTATTCACGAGAGTTTGTTGCTATTCAAAAATGTGCGAGAAAGAAATGATACATTTCAATCATGTCCCGGACTGGGAAGATTCCTCCGATTCGGCCGAATAATTCGGGCACCAGTAACAGTCTCAAGGGAATGTACATTTTAATGTAGTATTCATTCTAAGCTTATGTCGGATAATGTCGTAAGTATGCAAAAGTCAGCCACTTTTTGCCTATTAGAGAGACTGTTTTGGTATTAGAGAGATGGTCAAAAGAGGATGTTAAACAGCATGGTGAGAAGCGTTTCTACAAGAGGTCTGGCTAGTTCCTAAAACTCAACAACCATGTTATTGCCTTCAATGTATATGTACAGGTAACTCTAAAATGAATCCCCCACTTCATGGGAATTCACTTCATAAGTTGAAGACAAACAATAATCAACTTAAACCACTAACTATTGTTCATCACCAAAATTTAACAAATTAAGAATCATGCTTTCAATTGCATGCACGCTATTCTCAACATAAAACAGACTTACTGCTGAAGGTTTTTTTTCTCATTTCATGAAGTCACAATTGTAGCATTTTGGAACAAAAATGGCAAAAGCTAATGAAGCCGTTATTCTGTATTATTTTTGGGGAGAAATTACAAAGATGATGATGCAAAAAATGTTGAAAAGGAGTGGTTGACTAGTTTGTATGTTGGTTGGTACGTTTGTTCGTCGATTTTTGGTCGGTCGGTTGGTTTGCTGTGTGAATATATGTGTTATGAGCTTGGTGTTAAAGAGAGTAATCGTGTTACTGTGTGAACAGTTTACAAAATAATTAAAATGGTGGTTGATTTGGCATTGAGAGCTTTGTTTAAATGACGTCACTCGTTCTACTAACACCTCTAGGTGGCGCTCTAGGCATAGCTTTGGCATAATTCTAAAGACATTAAATGTAGTTCCAGATATGGGCCATGGTTCCTTGGACGCCTAGCATTGCTATACCATACCTTTTCTGTACTTAATTTTTATTACTTATCCTCCAAATTAATAACAGTCCCACATTTTTAAGGGAATTTTTAAATGGAAATATGTTCAATATGCTTCCACCGTATGTTAGCTCGCATGCTGATCGTTCATCACTTCGCGTAAATTTGACACGTATTGCGGGGCGTCAAACGCGGGGATCATGTGCGTGTAATATGCTTACATACCAGCATTGTAGTCGTGTTCATTTCCACGAGTACGAGTACGAGTAATTTGTCACGACTATGAGTACGAGTACTTTGCCACGAGTACGAGCACAAGGCATTTTCCCCTATGAGTACCAAAAATTCGAATCGAGTATGAGTATACGAGTACGAGTACAACTGTACGAGTACTGTCAACGAGTTGGAACAGATTTCAATGGGCAGGCCTACACATTGTTCTTAAGGGCTTTTTGGAGTCAATAACTAGGCATTAACTAAATGGAGAAGCCTCCCAAACACTACAAAATTGTTCTTTCTCCTGCATGTACCTCTTATTTTGTTTTAAATTCTTGCAGGAGAACATTTGCAAGAGTACGAGTACGAGTACTTTGTCATGAGTACAAATGAAGTTGTACTCGTACTCGTATAATATGCTCGAGTACGTTTTTGGTACGAGTACTGCAACACCGATGCATACACATTTATATAGCACACCCATGAGTCAAATGACATCCAATCGGACCATTCCTCATTCCCCCTCACCCTCTGCTTTTCGAATTTCCCAAGCTGCTGGTATAGCCACTTCTGTTGCCGTACGAAAATAAGATTTGCACAAGTTTCACTGGCTTGACCCTATATCCGCACCCCTAACACGTGTACATACGATTTGGCCTACGCCCACCATATGTTTAAACCAAGTATGGGATTCATATGGCTAAAACCATTTAAAAAATCCAGTTGACTGCCACTGGTCATTGGCGCCATCGATAATTGAAGCAACAATGCATCCATTAGGTTGTGTGACCGTTTGACCAACAGTTGAAGAGCCTTATCCCAAATGCTAGGCGTACAATCCTAGACTATATACAAGTACTATATGGCCTTACAACCTGTCACATAATTATGCAGTCCTTAAATTGGGCATTCAATTATACAAAAAGTGTGGTAAACATTACCGGTGCATTTAGTTGTCCTTAAGGTGCATTAACTTCATTTTCGGCCTACTGGTGTATCCTAATGGTGCATTCTACTGATTCAAACTGTACATTTTGTGTTGACGTTCTATTGTTTCAAAGTGTAGCCTACATTTAATATTTTGCTACTGATGCAGCGCTAAACGTTGAGAATAGAAGTTAGAACTGGTGTTTCTCTGCATACTGTAAGTTACCAAAGTTAATGAGTTATGAAGTAACAAATGTTTTTTTTTAACTAAGAAATGTTTTAGAAACATGTATTTTGCAGTTGGTATTTTGTCTGAAATGGTTGGTCTGAAATGTTTTGTATAATACATACCTGTATGAAAGAGTTGTTTAAGAAATGTGAGGCAGATATTTGACGTTTTGTGATTGTGCATAAAAGTATGCAAATTCACGATTTCGAACATTTGAAAAATATGTATGTAAGTTAACGTAAACGCTTTAAGTTAACGTTAAAATATATTAATAAAAAATAAAAATAATACATTATCATTGGAAACAGCTGTAAAGATGAATGACAAAATGTTGGGCGATTTTATCATGTCAGACCATGTAATATTTACAGTCAGAAAAAAATAGAATCAGAATACAATTACAGCAAAATAAATAACATATAAATTATTTCTTTCTATGTTTTAAAGGGTAATGTGGCATTATGAATCATCATAGATATGAGATTTAAAATATCTTACAATTGAAATGTAAATATTCGAGTTTTATGCCAATAACATAAATTATTATTACTCATCGTTATGATTATAGAAGTGTTCAAATATATCCCATTCTGGTTGTGAATATTGGTGTGAATATGTAAAAAAAAAAAAAAGGTATACATCTATTTGTGTATATTGTGTATGTACATTGTTTGTATCAATGCACATTCAGGGAAAATGCTCTTTTAGTTAGTAAGAGATCATTATTTTAAGGAACCAGAAAGGTACATATGATAGCAGCCATGAAAAATAAAATATTTCAGGAAACGAATTGAAATACAATTTTTGTTGTGCCGGCTAAACAGCCCTATCTACTAAGGTAACAAACTGAAAGGAACACATTTTTGTGGCGCACTTAAAAGTGTTATGGTGACGTTTTGAAAACAACAAATATGCCTAGGCCCTATATATGTAAAGCTATAGACCAAACTGAGTAGTCCACTTTTTGTGATTTCTGGGAATGACTTTTCGCCATAACTGGGTTGTTGCAAAGCTCGCTCCGAGATGGTATTTCATACAATGTACACTGACGTGTTCAAAGTTTTACCGAGCGAACGTGTGACATGAGCTCAGGCATGGAAGCGTGCCAGTAATGGCGAACAAAACAGTTTCGGTAATTTCAATATCGGATTTGTGCACCAAGGTCGTCGGTCGGTTGTTTTTCCCGAAAGAATAGTGTCTATACCACCCATATTTGGTATATCATTGAAAATAATGTTAGCCCCATAGGCTCTTCTCCTAACTAGACCTGCAGTTTAAACTGGTTAGGAATGCCCCAAATGTAGTTGGGACTGTCCGACCCATGTTGGGACCACTGCTATACTTGGGGCATAACAATAATGCGCACCAAGCTTAGCATTGATGACCGGCCACACTGCAAAATCTGTGTTTATAAATTAAGCACTTTTCTAAACGGTTTCTTGCTATCACTTCGTAAACATGTTTGAAAACTAAACATGTTTAGAGTATTGATGGATAGTATTTAGCAACTAAACTCAAAGTGAACTGGTATGACTGGTATCATATACCCTATGAAATCATTCCGCCTGAAATGGTATCGTTTTGGAAGAAAAGTAACATTGAATCTATCAAAATAAGTCGCCTGTGGGTATACTTGTTTTGTTGTGCGCACATGTTGTCTGTTTCTCAAAAATGTATAGCATAGTGACTGAGGTGAAACGTCATCAGGTCAGGGGTGCGTTTTGGCGGTCATAACCAAGAATTGGTTCGGTGGTTTCTTGTCGGTGAATTTCTTCGGCAATTTTAATTGGGTTAGAATTACGCGTGATCATGTAGTACTCAAATCCCAAAAACAATTAACCAAAGAGAAGCCACCGAACCAATTCTTGGTTATGACCGCCAAAACGCACCCCAGTTGTTATTTACCCTACATTTAATTGCCCCAAACGGGAAAAAAAAGAGGGGGGAAGCGAATGATCTTACTTACCTTTAAAGATCTAAGACAAGTATTCCAGGCAACTACAGAAGAAACGGGACACAGGTTTAAGCATGATTACAGTTCTAGGTATACTGATTAGACTTATTCATGTTAATGTACCCTTTAAGGAGACATTTTCGACATAAGTTATACCCTAGGGAGACACAGGACAATAGGGAGACATTTTCAATGTCTTCCTTATGTTACAAGTCCTATTTAGAGGCAAAATTTTACCGTCGCAAATAGGCTAGATTTCGTGGAAGTAAGATAAGGGAAACTAGGGTCAGGGTCATTAAAGCTGGAAAACTATTGTGCACAACCCTATGGGAATGTCCCCCTAATGTACAATTTCCCATAATTATTATTACTAAACATCTTTCTTGAATATATCTATAGCTGATGACAATTTTGAACTGGTTATTGCACTGGTTATTGCAATTATTTGCAATTTCACCATAACAAACAACGTTATGCTTTACACGGGGGAATTACAAATCACGTTCATTTCTTCTCTATGTAGAAATTTAACTTTTACTTGGTAAGCATTGACACTATGTTTGAAAAAAAAAATGAAATGTAGATTAATATATTTAACATTCTCGTATTTACTGTAAATAGCACACGTTTGGATGTATATATGATATGTGTATTCAGATTTTTTCTCCGGTAAACTCTGTGATAGAGCTGAACATTTAAATTTCGTGTTTGTGAGCATTATTATTATGATGTATATACGAAATGATAACGATGATGTTTATATGAGAAAGGATATAATTTTGAAGGTACACGAGGAGAAAGGTATGGAAGTGCAAATAAAATTGGCAAACCACACATTTTGTCCGATGTTTTGAATTGGGTGAAAGGTATTTGTATAGGTATAGGTATATTTATACTGCATTCTAATAAAAGTTGGGGTGGGGTGGGGTGGGGGCAAGAAAACGGGGCGAGAGGACGCAGAGGGTTTGGGGATTTAACGCCCTCCCCTTTGCCAATTTCTCTGAATTCCTTAATGATGCCGCAAAATGCAGGAGTAGGCCTAATAAGAATCTATACGTTCATTTTTTTTTTCTCCCTGGAACACGTCAAACCCCACATGTATAGGGGCGTACCTTCGACACGAAGTCACAACTAACCCCTCCCCACAGCCAAACTGGAATCTGCCTATGCTCAATCCCGTTGTTGTCAATCAATGATTAACTTTTCAATAGCCTTGAGATACACAGCTGCAAAGCATTGTGAGCATCTAACCCCCTCCCTCCAAAAAGTGAAGCCAACGTATTCGTCACAAATTAAGAATGTGATGGACATTAGGAGCAGAGACCTCAGCTTAGAAAATATCATGGCAAGAAGCTGACCTATCGGTCTCCTTATCAACTGCATTGCAACTCTACCTCAAAATGCTTGATTTAAAAATGTGATTTGTCCGAGTTAACGAAACAGAGGAATGAAATCATAGTCGTCATGTACATGCCTACTCGAGCGTACGCAAGGGGTGGTGAATCGGCGTTGACGTTTACGCGCAGTAATTCCCAAGTCAAATGTTAAGCAGACACCAGGGCAAGGGGAGATGGAGTTGGCCAACGAACGATGGGCATATAAACGTGACACAGGAATGTTGCAGAGTATAAATCATAAACCGGCGCGAAAAGTGTCAGTTCGGTTCGCGCCGAGTAAATATTTGGCCGATGTCTTCAAACGAACCGCATCGGACCGGCACCGCGACCTATAGCTAGACCGGTACTGCCGCCCGGGGAACGCGCCAGCATCCCCGCACATGAGCTCCGCCGATCTACGCCGATTGTCGTGATGGTGTTTCGAGTTATTTGGTGAATTTTGATGCGGGGTCGGTGTTTGGGAATTGAGACTGCATCATTCCGCACCGGAGATTTCACAGCTGTACGCACGACTCTCCTTTCGACGATTCGCAGATCCCGTCTGGCAAATAAGCATTAAGTTTCGAAATACATTTGTAATCAGATAGATCTTGTGATTTGCAGGTATCTCACAAGCTGTTATTTGCTACTTCAATTTGATAACAATGAATGCATCAAAGGTACGCTCATTCCTGCCAACCACAAGGTCCAGATCCATAGTTGGTCAACGTGTCAACAACCCTTGATGTATGCATCAGTGGTGATGCAAACATAATTATGCAAAACTTATTACAGCTGCTTTCATGGGCGAATGGGGGGAGGGGGGCTACCGGGGCCATGCCACCACGATTTTTTTTGGGTAATCGGAGTGAAGACACCTTTTTATCGTACATTTTCAGGAAATACATTAACGTTGCATAGGCCCTATCTCCCTCGCAAGCCATCAGCTACACATAACTGTTAGTTTTAATATTACAATGTGGAAATAGCGCACGACGCTATACTTATTCCCCTCCCTTAAAAACAAACAAACAATCGAGCCCTATTGGCCCCCCCCAAAAAAAAAACCCTTGTGGATCCGCCCTAGACTTTTTTTTTAAATCGTTATGTTGGAAAACTGTATACCTTTTCGACTTACAGACAAACCGACATAAGAACTCAAACCGTGCATAATACATAAACCGTTACCTGGAATCTCGAGGCTTTGAACACAATAACATCCCCACATGCCAAAACACCATGCATTCCTTAGCTTATAGTCCTTGTGTATGGAAAGAATAATTATTTGAATTCTCTCTTAATCTTTTTTTTATTGCGCTGATGATATGGTTTGGGCGAATTTCACCGATGAAGAAGAAGAAAAAAACCGCCAAGGTAGTAAATAATGATCCCGGCATGGCATTTCATTGATACGCTTGAATTTCAATATAGGTCTATCGAAATAATAGTCAGGAAATACAGCTGCTTGAAAACCTCTGGCGGTGCTGGCAATAAATCCAGCCACCCAGCCCTATCCGGACTAAAGAGAACAATGTATCCATTTTTACTTTACATTTTCAATAGGAATGTAACGAGTCAAGTCACTGAATAACCGACAGAATGCTCAAGGCACCAAATTGATTGAGTCTTCACCTGCCGAAAGACATGGAAAAGAGACGTCATGTTTACAATAAAGTGGACGAGCATGATGCTGATTCGCATGAGCAAATGACTTTTTTTGCTGAAAAAGTCAATTTTGCACCAAATAAAATGGGGGTCGGATTGTGTGTGTGTGATTGACTATTTCAAAGCAACACATTCAAATACAGCAGAAATACCTGTTTGTCCTTATTTATTTATTTCTCCGACTATTCAGCGACATCAGAAACCTCCGTGTTGATTTGAACAGTGCAAATGCTCTTTTCTCGAATGGAAACGGGGCTTGGGGAGTATTCCATGAAGAAGGAGACGGGCTAAACAAGCTTTGTCGGCCGTCTTCGACATCTCACAACTCCGCTGCGGCCATTGTCACAGAGGCAGTCGCATCCTATTCTGCATAGCTCATATTCCCGACAAGAGGAAGTCGGAAGGACAATGGACAATGACAGTTGAGGTCGCATCTTCTCTGGCCGGGGATGATGAAGGTCCAGGCCGGGCGATAGCAAGGGCTTATCAATGGGGCCTCGTGCGGAGCATATCGGTTTTCCGTGCTTTTTCCTCTGAAAGCAAAGTGCCGTGGCCGCCTTGCCAAACGGTGAAAAAGAAATACTGCCATGCTATTTTATTCGTCAATGTTTGAGCCACGAGACACACATCACTGGGA